AAACACCAGCGCTCTAAAAAAGAAGTATAATTCCGCCTCTAGGTCCTTCAAAAGAGTCATTGCCAAGGCAAAGTCAGAGCACATAGGCAGAATTGGCGAGAAACTAGTTCGTCTTCCTTCTGGAACCCGTACATTCTGGTCTCTCGCCAAGGCTGTCCAGGGGAATTTCTGTCAGCCATCTCTTCCATCTCTGCACAGGGAGGACGACTCACTGGCCCACACCGCAAAGGAGAAAGCCGATCTTCTAGGCTCTTTCTTTGCGTCTAACTCGACTCTCGATGACGGGGGGAGTACGCCGCCGACCATCCCGCGGTGTGAGTGCTCCATGCCGGAAGTGCAGTTCACTCAGCGCTCGGTTCGCAAAGCACTCCTCTCCCTGGACATCCACAAGTCGAGTGGGCCTGACGGAATCCCCCCCAATTGTGCTGAGGACGTGTGCTCCAGAGTTGGCACCGGTTTTAACGCGTTTTTTCCGGTACTCCTACTCCCTAGGCGTAGTCCCAAAATCATGGAAGACGGCTTTCGTCCACCCGATCCCTAAAAAAGGCGACCGCTCAGACCCGTCCAACTACCGGCCTATCGCCATCACCTCCTTGTTCTCCAAAACAATGGAGTCCATTGTAAACTGCCAGCTCATGAGGTACCTTGAGGATCACCAGCTGATTAGTGACCGCCAATACGGTTTTCGCCGTGGTAGGTCAGCTGGTGATCTTCTGGTCTACCTAACTCACAGATGGGCGGAGGCAGTAGAGTCCAAGGGGGAGGCATTGGCCGTTAGTTTGGACATTGCGAAGGCCTTCGATCGGGTTTGGCACAAAGCGCTTCTTTCGAAGCTCCCTTCCTATGGGCTTCCCGAGAAATTGTGCGATTGGATCACCAGTTTTCTTGCAGATCGGAGCATCAAGGTCGTTGTAGACGGTGCAAGCTCCGATTGCAAGCCTATTAATGCTGGTGTTCCACAGGGCTGCGTGCTATCGCCAACGCTGTTTCTTCTGCATATCAATGATATGTTGCAGACCCGTAACATTCATTGCTATGCAGATGACAGCACTGGTGATGCTCTTTACACCGGCCGAGCCAATATTTCTCGGGAAAACGTCTCCGAGTGCCGGGACAAACTTGTGTCTGAAGTCGAGTCTCTGCTGGACAGAGTCTCGGATTGGGGGCGACTAAATCTAGTCCAGTTTAACCCCCAGAAGACACAAGTTTGCGCGTTAACCGCTAAAAGAACCCCTTTGTCGTATCCCCTCAGTTTCAAGGCACTCCCCTTGTTGCCTCAGCCAGTATCGGAATCCTCGGCGTCGACATATCGAGTGACGTGCAGTTTCGTGGTCACTTGGAAGGGAAGGCCAAATTGGCCTCTAAAAAAGCTTGGCGTGCTCAGCAGAGCGGGACAGTATTTCATGCCGGCACACCGCGTGCAACTTTACAAGTCGCAGGTTCGGCCGCACATGGAATACTGATCCCATCTCTGGGCTGGGGCTCCCCAATACCAGCTCCTTCCACTTGACCACATCCAGCGCAGAGCGGCTCGAATCGTCGACGACCGAGTGCTTTCCGATCGGCTCGATTCTCTGGCACTGCGAAGAGATGTTGCATCCCTTTGCATTTTCTTTCGCATATACCATGGAGAGTGCTCTGAGGAATTGTTCGGATTAATCCCAGCCGCCAAATTTCGTGAACGCACTACGCGGCAAACGTCCCGATACCATCCACACCATCTGGATGCTTGGCGGTCCACCACTGTACGTTTCAAAAGGAGTTTTCTTCCGCGTACAACCTCTCTGTGGAATAATTTACCACCAGCGATTTTTCCGGACCGATACGACCTGGGGACCTTCAAGAAAAGAGCTTACTCCTTTCTAAAGGGCCGGCAACGCGTCTGCAATTCCCCTGGTGTTGCAGTTGATCATGGGCGGCGGTAGTCACTTAACATCAGGTGAGCCACATGCTCGTTTGCCCCCTCTTCTATAAAAAAAAAAAAAAAGATATAGCCAAACCTCTGCACAAGCTAACCGATGAGAAGCGACATGTCTGCTGGGATGAAAGTTTCAATATCGCATTCCAGGAGCTCAAGGACCGTCTGTGCAAAACACCTATTTTAGGATACCCTGATGCAAGCAAAGAATTTATAGTTGACACGGACGCAGGTGATATAGGACTTGGCGGTGTGTTGTCTCAACGGAATGGTGACCAAGAGGTCGTGATAGCGTACTTCAGCAAAACGTTGTCAAAACCGGAAAGGAACTATTGTGTCACAAGACGCGAATTGCTAGCTGTGGTAAAGTCGTTGCAGCATTTTATCAAATATCTTCTTGGGCGGAAATTTCACTTACGAGCTGACCATGCTGCACTAAAATGGCTATTACAGTTTAAAAATCCAGAAGGACAAGTTGCGAGGTGGATTGAACTACTGCAGGAATACGAAATCTCATGGCAACGCAGATGCATTGTCAAGAAGACCTTGTCCTGAAGATTGCAAACATTGCACTAGGCAAGAGAGTAAGGAAGTAGTATCCGTGAGGATACTCAGGACAGACCAACTCAGCAACGAGTGGAAGGACAGCTTACGACATGCACAGCAGGAAGATCCGGACATCAAGCCGATTCTACAATGGATGAAGGCCAGTGCACCCAAGCCCAAGTGGAGCGACGTCTCAGCGATGAGTTCGACCGCTAAAAGCTATTGGGCCCAGTGGGAAACCTTGCTGCTTCGGGATGGAGTTCTGTGCCGTAAATGGGAAAATGTTCGGGCAGACAGCTGTCATTTGCAAATGGTCGTCTCTAAAGCTAAAGTACCGGATGTTCTACAGCTGTACCATAATGATTGTTCAGGAGGTTTAAGTTTAATTAGTGTAAAGTGAATTAAAGTGTTAATGGTAATTCAATCGGCAGTTTTTATCGTCACGAACCTCAAGCTCGTAACAATATGTTGAGTATAGAGAACCGGTGACCCTTTTTACTGGAAACGAGGCATTCTATCTTAATCCTCACGGGTAACAACATTTTTATTCTTAATCGAGGATAAATGTAAATCTATGTCGATGAGCCATAGCATTCACTTACCATCGGGTGCACTGTGTGCTAGTTTGGCACCTTTATTTCATACCTATGAAGGGGTCTGTGTTCAGTGTACTTTGACAGGCAATAATGAATAATTCAATGAAATAAAAGCGTGCTTTGTATAACTCTTTATAAAATATAATTAAACAGTAACATTGAAATTGAAGAGCTTTTTAAGGTATAACGTCTTCAACTTTAACACATTAATCAATAAATACCTACTTGAATAAATACTTCACTTTTTAATTGTAAGTTTTTAGTTACATGTAAAACTGCCGGTTGAACAGTAATAATTTATTACAACAGCAAAAAAAAAAATTATAAGTATTACAGAAGTGATTTTCGAAATGAGCCAACTTTGCATGATTCTAAGATTTAAAAAAAAAGAAGTAATTTTGCCAAATCGTTCTCGAGACATTTGGATCAAATACTATTTTAAAAGAATATAAAATATTATTGATCTTTTTTGTAATAACTTTTAAAGTTATATATAACTTCTTTAAGTTCAGCATCTACGCTTCACTTTGTTGGTGAGCAATAATGAAAGGAAAAATATGGATTGATTTTATGAATACGTCAATTATAATAGAATAAAAGTCTATCACTTTTTATGAGGTGATATATTGACCAAGCGTTGGCTTATAAGAAATAAAAAAATTACTTATAATCAACTTGAATATTTTTATAACTACCTATTAAAAACTCCACTGCTGACCAAAGGCAACTTGCTTTAATGAGGATGAGCAGGAATTTTCGCCACAGTTGCCACGGTTGGCAGACGTTGACATGTTGAGTTGTTATCATACGCTTTTTTGATGTTTGATGAGAAAGACGTGTTACTTGGCGCTCTTAGATTTTTATTCCAAAGTGGTGAAAAAAGTTACCTTTTTTATTAGAAATATATACTAAATCGTTCAGCAGACTGAGTGCTTTTGTGTAGTGTAATTTAAACAATAAAATTTGGAATAAAAAGGGGTGAAAACATCGATTCAGTGAATCTTGTGTAGGGTACTGTGACATTAAATCAACATATTTGCTTAGGCGTCCTGAGATACTGTCGTCATCGACTGTCGGTTAGCCCAAGCTGAAATCGAAATCTCTCAAAATGTGCGTCATTTTATTTATTAATTAATAAACTGAAACGAACTTTAATATATTAATTTTAAAAAATTATTACAATTCTTAAACACTTGACACTACCAACACCACTATACTAGGAAATACCCAAGATCGGAATTTAAAATCCGAGTGAATATACGAGTTGTGTTTACGTGAGAGTGTATCATTTCTAACATATTAAACATTTAATAACCTAAATCTTATGAACTAACGTTGTAGTGTTTTAATAACAAAAGAAGTGATAAAGTAAACCAAAATTGTCTTTATCAAAGAAGTGTTGTTATATAATATATATAATTCCAAATATTTCCACTTAATGAATAATAGAAATATTGGCGAATGTTGAAGAATGAAGTGTATCCTCCTCAATCATTAAACATTTATGCTGTATAAATTGCATTATTGCCTACAAAAAGTTATATATTGAACAGTATATTTGTGATGTGTACGATATAATGTGTTTATTCCGACTGTAGCTATAAAATGTATTCATAAGATTTGTGGAAGAAATATTAGTATAATAATTATAATTGACAATTTCAACGGCTACTCACTATTGAAAAATATGAAAATTTGTAATAATATTGATAATTTCAATCCATGACTTAATAGAAGATTGGTCTAATCAGCTTAACTTAGTGTGTTATTCACTTCTTACAATACAATTAGGTGTGGGATCGAGTCCAACCCACGAGTTTAAAAACATCTTTTATTTTATATTCGTATATACTTTTATTTCTTGTTATCGCTTATATAACGAAGGGCGTATTTTAAGATTATATGTAAAAAACTATTTAATAAGCAGTCCTAATTAAAAAATGGAATTTGGAAATATAACGTACAGAAAACCAAAACGCTCTAGTTCGTTACAAGATATGTCAGATCTCAATTCCTCTTCTACACTGTTTGACGCAACCGTGGCAAGCTTACCGAATGCATCTCTATATGAAAGTCAAAATAATATTGATTTAAATGAAAAAATAAATAAACTGTCGAGTGACTTATTAATTGCTCATCAAGAAATAGATAATCTCAATAGTGAAAATACTAGTTTAAAGTTAGAAATTGAAAAATACCAAAAAATAATTAAAACATTTAAAAAAATTACTACATATTCCTCATGTAATACGACACCTGCATCAGTGAACAAGAGACGACAAATTTTGCAGATACCAGAACAAAATCTACTGTGTACACCTATAAACAGAATAGAAATGTCAGAGTGCAGTATTAACGAAATCAAAGACAAAGAACAAGAATTAGTCAATAACATAGAAAAAACAGATAGCTCAAATTGCCTAACACATCATGTCACATTCATCTAGAGAAAGAAGATATTCACAAAGAACACACGGAAGTAATTGCAATAGACACAAATACTAATACATCTCTTAATACTCCAAAAACTCAACTAGGAAACACTTTGCCATATTATATAAGAGAAAAAAATGACAATTACAAATTAGCTACATTTAAGATGCGAAGGAAAATAATTGTTATTGCTGACCAACAAGGGCGAAATATTTGCAAAACTCTTCAAAAATTAATTGGCGATAATTTTCTTGTAACTTGTTATTGGAAACCAGGAGCTAAAATACAGGAAGTCTTACAAACAGAAAAGAACGAAATATGTAAACTTACAAAAAATGATTATGTTGTTGTTCTTGGCGGCGTGAATGAGAATAATCCATATGAATTTGAATTTTGTATCAGGAGCTGGCTTTATAGTGTAACGAATACTAATGTAATATTTACAGAAATACCATATAATAGAAATTTAAACATCGGCAAACTTAACTATGTATTAAGATTTATATGTACAAGCTTTACTAATGTTTCGTTTATAAATACAAATGGTTCGAAGCCTTTCTTTCATCAATATACTTTTACTCCATATATACCATGTCGTTTTCTGCTACGTGAAATTCTACGCCTCGACTACAAATTAAAATTTGAGCTTTACCAAAATATAGTAATTTCCTCAAAATTTACTCCATTTCAGACTACTAGTACACAAACTGACAATATTGAAATGGTAGACACATGTACACAAAGTGACGACATATTGAAAGACAATATCATAGAGGAAATCACTCCCAGGCATGAAAATATGACACATTCTGGTAAAAATCTTTTTCGTATATAAAAAACTATATATATTACATCAAAATATTAATGGATTAATTGCTAAATCTGATCTCCTAACTGTTAATTTAAATAACCTCGAATTAGATGGGTACTCGGCTGATGTTCTATGCATAACTGAACATAATATGACTTACAATGATACGAATTTATTCAAATTAGATAATTATACTCTTGCATCGTACCATGTTCGAGAAAATCGTCATGGAGGCTCCTGCATACTAGTTAAGAAATGTCATAAATATAAACCTCTTCCTGAAATAGCACAACTTAGTAAAACGAACATAATTGAATGTTGTGCAGTTGAACTTATAGAGCATAAACTTAAAATAATATGTACCTATAGACCTCCAAAAAATAGAAATGAAGATTTGAATAATTTTTTGTATAATTTCGACTTAATATTAAAAAAAATACTGTAATAATAATAAAAATAAAATTATAATTTGTGGAGATTTTAATATAAATATAATAGATGCAACCAAAATTTCTAAAAATTTTATACAACTATTAACAAGCTACAATCTAAAAACAGCTATAAAAGTACCTACACGACTAATTAGTGATACATGTATCGACAATATTTTTCACAATATTCAAGGGTGTAAGAGCAATACTTATGACTTAGCTTTGTCAGACCATACGGCACAACTTTTAATATGCCCAGTCAAGAAAAGCTACTATCTTAATTACTGGCATATAAGCAGACGCGATTACAATGTAGAAAATCTTCACAAATTTAACAATTACTTGAGCTCTCTCACTTTCAACGAGGTTTATAAGGAAAAAAATCCTAATCTTGCTTTTGACCAATTTCATGACTTGTTTACCCTCCTCTATCGCCTATGCTTTCCTGATATTAAAATTGAAGTCTATTCACGTAAACAAACAAAATGGTTATCTAATGGGATAAAAAAATGTACTAAGCGTAAACGACAGTTATTATGGCAATACAGAAAAAAACGCAGCGTAGAAAATAAAACTATATTAAAAGAGTATTCCCAACGTCTAAACAAAATTATCAAACTTACCCAAAAGTCCCAAAATAATTACTATATTAACACAGCACAAAATAAATCTAAAGCTACCTGGCAAGTGATAAATAAATACAAAAATGGCACAAATGAAGAAGCAATTAGTAAAATTATTGTTGATGGTGATATAATTGAGGATCCTCTAGTTATAGCTAGGGCATTTAATAATTTCTATACCAACAAAATTAATAAAGACCGCCCAAATAGTGATAAACCATATAAGTTAACTTTTAACAATCCCAATTCAATTTTTATACCACCCACAACATCATTTGATATAGATAAAGCTATAAAATCTCTTAAAAACACAAACAGTACCGGTTGTGATGAAATTTGTACAAGAGTTCTAAAATACGTATCCGGTGCAATTGCTCCGGTACTTAGTTATATTTTCAATTTATGTATTTGTAATGGTATATTTCCTGAAAGACTAAAGTCTACAATTGTCAAACCACTGTTCAAAAAAAATGATCGGGAGAATATGTCTAACTATAGGCCCATTGCGCTTATACCTGTGCTCTCAAAAGTATTTGAGAAAATAATTTATAACTCTTTATATAACTACCTTGAAACGTACAATATTCTTAGAGAAGAACAAATAGGATTTAGAAAAAATAAGACTATAAATATGGCTCTATACAATTTTTTTTAATACTGTTATGTCTAGCCTAAACAATAAAATACCTGTATGTGCACTTTACATGGATCTTACTAAAACATTTGATTATGTTGATCATAAAATATTACTCAAAAAGCTTGAAACCTACGGCATTCGAGGTAATGCACTAGATCTACTAACATCATATTTAGTTAACAGAAAACAAAGTACACACATTACAAAAATTTGTCTAAAATCAAGAAAAGAAATGACCTATGTTTCTGAATACAGAGTCGTACAAACTGGAGTACCGCAAGGAAGTGTTTTAGGACCATTGTTGTTTCTTATTTATATCAACGACCTTCCCAACGTCATTAATTACAAAATGGTATTATTTGCTGACGATAGCACAGTTATTTTCACTAGCAGAAACAAAATAGATTTAGAAAGTAACATACACTTTGCTTTAGAGAAAATCATGAATTGGCTAAACATAAATAATTTAAATATAAATTTAGAAAAAACAAAACTTATGACATTCTATCCAAAACGTAATAAAATAAATAATTTAAATATCAATTATCTAGGACAAAAAAATCAGTACCATAGATAATATAAAATTTTTGGGTATAAATGTAGATTGCAATTTGAACTGGCAGTCTCATGTGAGCAGTGTGTGTATGAAATTAAATCGTTTTTCGTATGCGTTATATATGCTTGGAAAAGTTGTGGACACATCCGCCGTAATGGCATCATATCATGCTTATGTTATGTCTACACTTAGATATGGTATTATGTTCTGGGGTAATTGTACGGACAAAGAAACAGTATTTAAAGCTCAAAAGAGATGCTTACGAGCCATTTGTAAAATTAACCAAAGTGAGAGTTGTAAGCCATACTTCATTAATTTAAAATTATTAACAATGCCATGTCTATATATATATATATATATATATATATATATATGAGGTAGTCTTATTTGTACGTCAAAACTTAAGTTTTTACAAAAAACTAAATGTCCAGCGTCATAAAGATAAATTGAGCCATCCCAATAGTAAGACTGTTTTGTTTCAAAAAAAGCGTATTCTGTATGGGTCCTCGACTGTATAACCATTTACCTAAATATATAAGAGATTCTAAGAGCTTTTACATTTTTAAGAAACAACTAAACACATTTTTAACCATAAAAGCGTATTATAATATTGACGATTATCTATATGACAATTTTTAAATTTTAACTATCAAATTTATTGAACGAAACGTTATCTATGTTATTAATTTTGAGACAATTTATACCTACTCGTTTTGACATTATTACTTGGACATTACAATTTTAATTATTACATGTATTTTATCATTATTTTGTGAATTATTATTATGTTAGTAGCGCAAATATACAAATAGGGTTATATTATGTTAATGTAATTATCGGCATTTTCCATTTAATTTTAATTATAAATAAAATCTAATATTTAAGTAGTTTGCATACCGAAAGGTAGAATATGGCTGTATTTTGTTAAATTATTAAGACCTATTGTAACCCATATATCGCAAATGAATAAAATGAATTTGAATTTGAATTTGAATTTGAATTTGATATAATTACAAATGTAATTTTTACACGCTAAGAATAAAGGTCAGATGAATGTAGTAGGTATAAAACATTAAAATTTTATCCTTCCACAAAAAGGATCCTAACACGTCGCTTACTTGCTTAAGCCTAATGTTGATACCAAAACTTTTTCTTACGAACACACTTTTAAAAACACACTTTATTTTTAATAAAGTGTGTTTTTGATAACAAGATGGAAATAAGCGAACTAACTGTCCACCTGATGCTATGTGACTAGTGTAGCGCTTGCGTTGGTGTACTAATATGGAATGAAAAACAGCCTGTAATACTCGTTGTACATGTATGTACATACATCCAGAACCTAATATTGCATTTATTTTTGCATTTGCTTAGTGGCTGCAATAGTTCCGATGGTGGTACGTTCCGTGACAGGTTTCTATTATTATTGTCGTTTTTGAAAAAAAAAATACTACCAAAAATCTTAACATTAGTAATTTTCCAGTTAAACACTCCAGGTAACTGTAAAAAGTGATTCATAATAGTAATCGAAAGGTAAAATTCGATACAACATTTTTTAAGTTCGCATTTCGAACTGTCGCTACGATTTTCAAGATTCTAAGTCACCTGCATGCATATAACCCTGTATATCTCATCATCATTCCAATCAATTTAGTGAAAAGCTAATCAAGAACCTCTTAAATCCATCTAGTGAAAGGCCACTCATGAACATTGCTTCCCAATTAGTGAAAAGTTGTTCGAGATAAACGCCCAAAGGTCTTTTACGAGTATATACATCTACCAGTAAATCACCGTGCCTATGTAAAACTTTTTTTTGGTTCCGAAAAATATTGGAAGGATGTATCGTAATTTTTCGACACGAATTTAATTTAACCGCTTGATCTCTTTCTTTTCGAGATGGACCTAGTTCAGTGTCACAGTGAATAAAAAATATTACTAATGTATTATTTTCAATCC